TGCGTTTTTTTTTCATGCAAAATACTGACATGATTCAAAATAAATTAATAATGTAAAATGATATCCACTATATATTTTTGGAGATGTCTATGCAGTTATTTTTATTATTTGTTTAATAAATTCAAATGTTCAATCACTGGTGCAATCTGTTTCTTTGTACTGTATATTTATGTTTTAAATCTAAATGTACTTTCCTTCTAGAAAATCCACAATCATGCTCTACCTGTGCCGACTCAAATGTATTTCTATTTTAAATAAGTTAATCATGACTCATTCTGCATATAAATAAAACTGCTCACTAAAGGATGTAAAAATGGCTTTATTACCACAAATATCAAAACTCACAGTGCAAATGACACATGATTTACATACATGCTTTGTAAACTTTAGGGCTGCCAATTGTTAAAACCTTTATTTTCAGGTTGAACATCCATGGTTACAACATGTAAAAGTTTCATATCGTTCCACTAGAATTGTAATTTTGAAATTTTGGGAATGCTGACAATTTAACTCCTCTTGAAAATCCTCTTGGCCTCAACTCCTTCATAGGAATAGCTCTGTAAGCAAATAAAAAAAAACTCAAAATGTTAGAGAACACAAGTTTTGATCTGAGGCTCTGTCTTCATTCGTAATGAACAACAACTCACCTGTACAAGTTCATCACCAATAATCTTCCTGGTTGTTATTAGCACCTTTCCGTTGTCCTTGCGTGTGAAAGTCCCCTTAAGCGTATCTCCCTCCATGACCCAGGATCCCTACAATCAGAAGGTCTATGGTCAGACTCACTTTGAACTGAGCAGTGATAGGTCGAGTTCACCGGTAACTGATTGTTTCTTCAGGAGGCTTGTATAGAGGGTGTTATGAAAGTTACATATTCTTGTCTGTCATTCAAATATTCAAATTGTGAACTTTGTAGTTTCCACTCCATTAGAAAAGCACATCGATTAAGCAAATAAACAGCTTGCAACATTCAGTAAATGTGACACGTGACACTGATTTAACACAAAAGAGTTAATGTATAACATCACAATCCCATGTTATTGTTTGCATCACCATTCAGCACTGCTCAACATGCATCTCAACCTTTGCCCTTGATCACTTTCAGAAAACCCCTAAAAAGTGCATAGCAGTACCTCGAAGGTGTATATTAGTATCCAAAGTGTACATATTAGTACTGCCTCTGATTTTTTTTGCAGCAATGCCATAGAAAAACCACTCTCGGTCACCCAAAGAACCTTTAAGGTCTTAAAGGAACATGTTTTATTTAGTGTGAAGAACGGTTTATATAATCTAAAGAACATTTTCCTTTATAAAGAACCTTTTTGTGCAGTAAGAGTTTCCATGGATGTTAAAGGGTCTTTATGGACTCATAAGGAACCTGCAAATAAGGAACCTTTAGGGTATATAAGACTGAAAGCACCTAAGGTCGTTGTGCTTACTGTGAGCTCAGTGCCGTCTGCCAGAGAATAGTCAAAGGGGACGCCCAGAGTAAAGTCAATTTCCAGTGTGCGGAAAGTGCTGACTTCCTTCACGTGGAACTTGTCTCCGGTCTGCTCCAGGGTGATCTTCAGGTTGTCATGAGAAGCTAGTTTCCTTTTAACCATGTTGATGCCTGTTGAAAATATGCAGTGCACGTGCACCTTATAAATAATGATTGACTGAAGCACTGACTGACTGAAATTCAAAGAATCTTGCAGCGTTTGATCTCGGATCCAACAATTCACAGGCGATGCTTAATTTGTCTGTGTCCACACCCATTTCTTCCATGAACTTCTCATAGTTCTCATTGCGGTCGACTTTCCAGGTCCTGTTGAAGGTCATGATGACAGACTGCTGTGATTCTGACGGCGACCTAACTTTACCCTGTGCCTGTCTTTTATACCTGTGCGAGTGACAGCACGCTGTCTTATCTAAGTATTATCTTCATGCTGATGTGGCTGAGTAAAGCTCACCGAGTATAAATCTCACCCTACCTCCAGGCTATACTTTACACATCCCAGCATGCCTCGCGTCTTCATTAATTGTGCAAAAGAGTGGAGGCTTCAAGTCATTCCATGAGAACAAGCGCTCACTTGTATTGTGTGGTCAAATATTCACATGCCAGTAGTGGCTTTGTTGTTTGTACACAAAGTCCTGCTTTTGTTTGAATTGTTTGCTGTTTAAACTGTGTAGGGTGTGTCTGTTCAGTAGTTGTGGTTTATGTAGCAAGAACTGAGTGGTGTATTTAGGCAATGAATTTCAGCAAGCGTAATTTGACATCTATTAAACCTGTTGAGAACTGTGAAAAGTGAAACTCTTCGTGTTTGACCACTCACCAGCTTACTGAGAATTATTCACTGTTACTGCTTACAATGATTCCAGTATTGAGTGAAAAGAGCTGTGGCATATTTTCTGATAATGAAAATTTAAACTAATAATTCTACCAGACTTGCCAAATATGAAATCAAAGCACAAACATTTGGTGTGGAAGTTTCATCTGGAGACTCCGTGACAAGATAAAGAGATATAAAGAGATATGATAATCTCTGATAATGGTTTATTTCATCATTAGCTCAGTCTTATAATCTCTCAACAGGCCAATGTAAGAAGACCTTTGAAGACCTTTGGTATCGTCCCATTGAAAGCGAAGACAAGAAAAACTCTAAACTAATCTATGATATTTACGGTCTAAAAAAGTTCACAAAGTTGTGGTCATATGTTTGCCTTGCAGAGTCTGCAAAATAATGAATTATTTGAACAAAATAACGATCTTATTTTATTAAAATTGTTAATAAGACCTAGGCTCTTAGGTTCTCCAAGGCTGCATTTATTCTTTCAAAATACAGTAAAGCGGTATTATTGTGAGGTATTATTACAATTTTAAATAATAAAAAAAATTATATTTTAGTTTATTTTAAGTATAATAAATATTTAATTAAAGCTGAATTATCAGCAGCCGTTACTCTTATCTTCAGTGTCACGTGATCCTTCAGAAATCATTCTTTTATAATTAAACATTTTTTATTATTACTATCAATGTTACAAGCAGTTGTGCTGCTTAATATTATAATGGAAACTATCAAACAGGATGCTTTGATTAACGGAAAGAGGGGAACAGCATTTCTTTAAAATATACTTTATATATTTATAACAGTATAGTATAGGCTACATACTTTTGTTCATTTTGATCGATTTAATGCATTCTTATTAAATAAAAGTATTAATTTCTTAAAAAAAAAAAATCTTGCTAACCCCAACATCAGTGCATATGCGCAATTAAATTTTTCTGCATAACAGGCTAATTATGTGGTTTTACAAGTCATGCGCTTGTTTAAAGCCTCTGTGGTTCATAGACTGTAGGTATGATTATCTGCTTTTTCCTGCACAATTCTATGAAACATGAAAGGTTGTCTATTAATCAGGATGAAGTCATGCTTGGTTGCTGTAATCCAATATTCTTGTGATTTGAACATGAAATCTATCACTAGGGCATCAACTATCTTCCCATTGACTCTTAGCTTAGACGCAATTTAAAACTGCTTCTATGATGTTTTAATCTTTTTATTACATAATTAGTAGTGTACTTGGCATGGTGTTGTATTTTACTACAGAGGAGTAGTGACTGCTAGCACAGTTTATGTCCGGAAGGTAATGATCAACTACATAATCTGTAATATACAACTGAAAGTTGATTTCTCTAATATGGGAAGTGTAAATATTGAAAATGTTGGGCTTATAGTGACTTCAAAGTCCAAGGTGAACTATAAAGTTCATTTTGTATTAGTTTTCAGCAACAAAGTAGTTACATATTCATACCACAAGAAGGAGACAGTTGCTCTAATATTAGACTTGAGACAAATTTGGAGAGTGACTCACATTCATGTGTGAGCAGCAGGCTTATTGCTTTAGTATTTGTTAATGTCTGACTGCAAAAAAGGCAATATTTGTCTCTGGTAATGATAATACATTAGTCTGCTCATATTGTAGAGTTTTTGCTTAAGTTTAAGTAGTCAAAATTATGATCCTAGTAAGCATTTTCACAATTTCCAGAAAATAAACACTTTCAGTATATTTAATCAATCTGTACACTCCTGACATTTATATTTTTTTGTTAATGTTTCTTTTCATAACACACCGTCTATAAAGAGACTGAGCCTGAGGGTCTGTGTCTGACTTTATTAAAAACAATGATTTTAGATTTGACTTTGTTTATATTTTTTGACAATATGACTATGTATTAGAAGCAGCAAGACAGACTTATGAATATGTTTAGAGGCATTAAAATGAAATACACATGAAGGCTATGAATATTTTTTTATTTATTTTTTGTAAAAAAAAAACTCTCAATAGCAATGCTATTATTACAATGCTATTTTGTTTTATCCTGCAACACAAACAAACAAATCAGACTATGCAAATCTCTTAAATAATATTTTAATACAAGACTTAAATATATGCCGCAAACAGAGGTGTACATAAAAGCATGTGACATGATAGGTTTCCGATAAAAAGATCTATCTGTGACATTCAATGAATACAAACTCTCACACCAATGAAATATATCCACTTTTTAAATAATTAATATCACTTAGAAACTTGTTTAGAGTCTATTCATTGACGCAATAACTTGAACATTAGTGTAAATGTATAGTAAATTGTGATCATAAAATAGCTTATATGTACAGGTTTGGCAAATTCTCTGATGCAATGTGAGACTGTAAATATGATTCCAATGTGCAGGCATTTTTATTATTTACAGCATGCACATTATCCTCTGAAACATGAAAAATAAATTCAGTCTAGCAAATTTAATTATGGTTAAACTGAGTATTTCCAATATAATACATTGGTACACTAACAAAATGTGCTGTGATTCTGAACACAGCAGGTTTATTTCTTAATGTGTGCAATTAAAACAAACAAAGAAAATGTTAAAGGTATTTCTAAGTTGTAGTGTTATACTTATAACTTATATATATATATATATATATGTATATATATAAACAACTTGTTTTGCTCAGTGATGAAATAAAAAAAAATTTCTGGACTTGGTAGTGATCTAAATACTGTCACATTCTTTACTATAAATAAACCAAGATGAAAACAAACACTTGATGAGCATGTCTGCACGTTGCATAGTGTATTTGTACCATGTTCCAGTTTTATTTATTCCGATGTTCTGTTTCTGTATTAAATCTATTCAATAGCTGGCACTCTAATAGTATGATTAATATCAAATGGACAGTCATTTCCATATTTCTACGTAAAATGTGTAGAGCTCTGTTTACCTTTAGCTATGCAATACCCTTTTCCCCCTATTTTGTCATTATCTGTGAATCAGAGATAATTGGCACTTGAAATGCAGGGGTCACCAAAGAACATTCTTAATTTGAGAGGGGAAGAATAAAATGATCTTGATGAAGAAAGCAAAGCATGCTCCTATTCATAGATTTCAGAAAGAACACACATTAGCTGAGAACACAATAAAAATCGCATCGCTGCGGCTCTATGGCGCGTCTGTTAGGTCTTGCGTGAGAGAAACCACACTTTCATTGGTTCTTTTTTTCCTTTCATGGTTACAGGTCCTCTGTACTCCAAATGAAACTGCGGATCGGCGTTTTCCACTGACTGCAAACACCTGAAACAAAACAACACAATAACAACATTCAATTTATTCACACAAAAACCTTTGTTTAGATTATATTGTATTATATTATAATTAATCTCACAAATTCAATTCAGTTCAGTTCAGTTCTATCCTATTCTATTCTATTATTAAAAGTCATGTTGGTTTTCATAATTTGAATTATTGTTTATTTCTGATTTTATATCCTGTCCAGGGGATACAGAAGTAAAAAAAAAAAACCTTTGGCTAATTTAATAGTTGACTTTTTCTTTGTTTTCACAGTGTTTATATTTTAGTCAGTGTACAATTAATATACTTTTTAGAAGGTTATTAAAATCACTGTAAAAAGTAGTACCCCGTAACAGTGCATAGCAATTTTTACCTATGAAAAAAAAATATATATATGTGCAATGTTCCAGGGTACTACTTTTTACAGTGTTTTTAATAACTTTCTAAAAGTATATTTATTGTACACGGACTATTTCATAAAATATAAACACCGTGAAAACAATCACTGGTGTAGAAACAATTTGCACTCATAAATTCTTAGGGCCAGATTTACTAAACAGGGCAACTTGGCGTTAGAGCGCAAATCCAAAAAAGCGCCGATGGGAGGGGAAAATTCTCCGGGTGATTTACTGACAATGCGCACATTAAACAACACAGACGCAGCCAGATCATGTCCATAATGACCAGTGAAATCTACTAAGAGCAGCGCAAATTGCCGCCTGCTTTAAGACATGCTTTTTGGGGGTGTTAAATAATGGCACAAATACCAGTAATTTGACAAGTGCAAACGTTAGTAAATCGCGTTGCGTGATTCATTTTAATACTCTCCTCCCATAAATTTTGCGTCTGAAAGGGAAACTCCTACAAATGTATATTCAATAAGGCCAGGCAAAATAACTGTGTCCACGCCTTTTCAGCGCTAATTCTTCACTGCACGTCTTTAGGAAATCCTGACTGTACTATTTTAACGCCAAAAGACGGTTTGCGCTGGCGCAAGATGTTAGTAAATCTGGCCCTTGGTATATTTCACAAAACAGTTAACACATTGGATAACTGGAATAGCATTTTCTTGTAAAACGTACTCAAATCATTTACAACTTCGAGAAATACTTTTTTACAGTGCAGATTTATGTTTTTTTTTTCACCTGTATGTGTACTCCGACACATTTATCTTCCCTTTCTCTCCTGTGGTCTCTGTACGACTTGTTAGGTTGACCGTGTTTCCAAACAGGCAGTAACGGGGCATTCTTTGACCTATGACTCCTGTGACCACCTCTCCTGTGTGGATTCCAATGGTGATCTGCTCCAAGACATAACAGTTAGGTAGTAAATGTGTGAAGCCTGAAAATACGTAAACAAATTAACATATAACTCCTTAATATTCGCATTGTCTTTTACAATTTGGACAATTTATAACGGGAGAAATCATGGACTTTTTTTTCATTTATTGCATGCATTTGTCTTTCCAGCAATTGCAAAGAACATTCCTCCTCTGAGCGAGACACGCTCTGCCATGTGAACGTGCCAGAGCTGAGCTAACGGTTCAGAAAAAGTTAATGTGGGTGTATTTTTAAACACTGAAAGGAAGGATGATCTGACGGTGTCTCCCTTTGCCAGACTGTGCTTACTTTTGTGTGCGTGTGTGTCTTTGTGTGAAAGCGTCCATGCCATTCGCCTAATACAGTCCTCTCTCTAATTTAGATGCTCTTAGTGTTCCAGCAGCACATCTTCAACAGTCGCACATATAATAACAAACCTGTGTCGTCTGGTTCAACAAAAGACCCTGACTGAGACTTTACTGCAGACACATCTAACACCTTTGAGATGTATTCTTAAGCTATTCTTAGAAAACATAAAACATCCTTAATACACTGGCTAAAATGTATCCCCACAGGAGCATGTTTTATGATTTTTTTATAAAAAATGTTTTTATGAAGGACAGCATGGTGGGTGGGTGCTTGTGTAAGCCCATCAGCCGGGTACACAAAATATGCAAGGTATTTTGTTTAAGTTATGCTACTAGGCAGTGCATTAAACAAGTCTAAACATTTAAAATGTATTTATGCATTAAATTATAAATACACAATGACCAGTATACACTTGTATATTATATTGTGAGTTTAAAAAAAAAAAACATTATACCGGTACTGTTTTTTCTTTTTCTTTTTGATTTCTGAAGGAACTTTGCTAACGTCTCTTCTGAAACATTGCCAAGGCATATTTTATAAAAGGCGAAGCTAAATGTGACATGTATTATAGTGGGCTTATGTGAATATTGTTTTAAGTTAACTTGAAGGGTGTTATATTATAGTTAAATTTGTGTGTATATGTTATATGTTCTGTAATTGTTAATACATGATCAATAAAACTGATAATTTGCAGTTTAGTCCTGGATTTGAATTACACTATAATGTTGAATGGCTATTAATCCTCATTTTATCCCCATGAATTCATAGAAAGATGCCATTAAACAAATCTTTCAAATATCAAATATTTAAAATGCTGGAGATTTAAAATTTGGGAGATTCACTGTGAAAACATATATATAATTACAAATTTTACTGTTAAACACAATCATGATTAACTGCAGAAACTGGTGTGAATAATTAGCAACTTTTTTGTAATCAACTTTTCCTTTTTTTATTAAAATAACTTTCTTCTTAGTTTTCGGGTTTTGTTATGTCTTAGCAGTTAAATGAATGTTCATTGCATGATTTTAGTGGCAAGAGTGTTACTATGATGGTGTTAAGTATTTGAGTGTATGACACTGTGTGCACCTTCTATATATTAGTATTTACCTCTCAGCTTGTGGAAAAGCTATTTGTGATAATCTTTGATTTATCATGTGGCTTTCTCTTTAGCCCGTGTTTTAAGGCGGTTGTCAGTATATAAAGGTAAAAATATATATATGTTTAGTAATTTACTATTTTTCACATTATTTCAATTTATGACATACACAATATACAATATATGTTTTTAGTGAAAATGTTCTATGGTATGTTTTTTTTTTTTTTTTTTACAGTGTAGCATCTCTTTCTTTAATTTCAGCACCCACAATCTGCAATAATGTGTTGTATCTTCCAGTGTACTTGAAATCAGCAAATGAAATAAACTAGTTATTACAAAACTTTAATGTTTGTGACAAGAAATATTATACATCCATCTAGTCAGATGCAGATCCTCATAGAATGATAATGTTCTCTAGGGCAGCACTGGGCAAAGCCCCAGCATACAGCTCCCACTTCCCTATTATCCCCTATCCATTCCAGTGAAATGACGAAATAGAATGCGACATGCCATTACTGATATTCATTTACTAAAAGAAAGAGAAAAAAAAACAGTAGAGCAAGTTTTGAATCCACAACCGTTCACACTTAATGCACATCTTCTGAAACCCCCAATAGGCCTATTAAAATAGCTCCAATTATAGCCAAAGCTATATCAGCTGTTCGAATGATTCAACAAACACAGACAAGCGTTTTGATACAAACATTGAAGTTGGAGTTGATAAGATGTTCTGGAACAAAAGACCTTAACAGAACCTCTTGTGCTATGCATAAAAATGTGAAAAAAAATTATTTTTGTTTAAACTTGTAACTGGGTCAAGAAAAGTGATCACCTGTACAGGATCCTTATCTACTTTCACCTGTCCAGCGATCTCCATCATGTCCAGGGCCAGATGACAGATGGATTTTGCATGGTGGGTGCAGGGCTCCGGAAGACCACTCACAGTCATGTACTTATCACCAACTGTCTCCACCTTTCAGAGAATAGAGAGACGTTTGAGAAACTGATGAGACGGCTAGAAATAGCTAATGTGCCTGTGGTATGATGAACCTCAAAGGACACTTGGATATTTTAAGTTTCCTACCCCAATTTTATATTTAACACATTAACCTACTTGATGTAATAATATCTGCACAACAGATATAGAGTCTGTTTAAAATCTGTCTATATAGAAAGTATGTACAGTATATATATATATATATATATATATATATATATATTATAAAAATATATATGCCTATTTTACCTTTAAAATGTAATTTTCGCCGCTAGAGGGCACGTATTCAAAATAAACAAAGAGGCAAAGGCGT